CTCCAGCTTTAGTAAATAAACCCCCAGCTGTCTAAGAGCAGCACCACATGGTGAGGTCATTACACAGTTTTCTTCTTCTGTCACCATAATCCCTGTGTTTAATGTATAGGATTGTTCATTGCAGTAGAGCCTGATTGGACACACCTACCCTTCCCATTCTCGGTCCTGGTGTACAAGGGATTTGAGGAAGCTAACATAAATACATTCAGGCTTTATGCACATTGGTGCTTAGCAGCTTCTGTGTACTGAGGTGTCATATAGCCAGGGCTTCCCGGGATCTGCATGTACCGTGTCCATCCGCCAATACAAGTGATCACTTGTACTGGCGGCTGGACACAGCCCATGTAGTTTCCGGGGCCCCGAGAGCCCCAGTTATTTTAACACCTCAGCACACAAGAGCTGCTAAGCACCCATGTGCATAAGGCCTAAATGCTAACTTGTTATATCTGCCTGGCACATAAAAGGATCTGTTTTAAGAAACAACAGATCTACTGGTAAGTATATTTTTATTTTAATAAGTCTTTTTTTATAAAAAAACAAACATTTAATTCAAATATACAATACATATATAAAACATACAAGAGAACAAGGACAATATGGGATTTTTCACAATTTTTGTTGACAATTAGTTACAGTTTCATGGAGAAACTTCAATTTTGTTAATTCATAAAGATAGTTAATGATTCTTCTATTTCAATGTGTAGTGAGCCATGACTTTTAAAAACTGGCAAAATTGTATTCGTGACAACAGTATACAAATCAGTAGATTTTCTAGAATTCACGATGCGGATCATGAAAATTACTCCTCTGCAGAGCTTCAGGTCAAACTGGAGACAGCAAAATGCCTGGAAGCCGACACTTGTTTGTTATTGTCTATACATGTACTGAAACGCAAGGTATAAAAGTGAGGTTTCCTTTAAAAACTGAACTCCGACCTTCCCTTCAAGCTTGCACAGTTCTACCAGCTGCTCCCCGGGACTGAAATTGCTTACTTTTATTTCACTGCACACTGTGAGCTTCTCACAATGTGCAAGAGAAGCTGCAGTATGTCAGCTAGAGCACGCCTCATTTCTTTGCTGGAGGACGTCCAGCACCAAGTAGCAGATTCAAGGCATTTTGATATTAGCACTCCTCGCAAGAGCCAGCCCACTGCTTCCATCAGGGCTGAGGGCTCTTGAAGGAAGTACTGCGGCAGAACATTGTGATTTTTTTCAGGAAGCTATGTACAGCACCCTGCCGGGCCAACCCACCAGCCATGATCAGCCATGCAATTCCTAGAGAAGCACACAGACCCAGTAATGACATCCCTGGGGTGTAAAAAAATGAAATGAAAACGGAAAGTTTTATTAAAATTTTCATTATCATGTTTACGAGGGAGCAACCAAGGAAGCAAATATCAAAAAAGGTTAAAGTTCAGCTTTAAGCCGTGTCATAAATACTTCAACATAGGTAAAAACATGGCTCCATAATGGACATTCTGATGAAATATATAAATTACACGAAAAGCAGTGTGTAGATCCTCTATCCAATCTGCTGAAATAAGACAGAGGACTGGACTTTGCCAAACGAGTTCCTTCTATACAATCAATAGGTCGCCTAAAAAAGAATAGACTGAAAATTTGCATTCAGCCAATCACAGAGCATTTATCATCATCTGTAAATGATGTCGGCCAGGCTTAGTTGTAGATGAGTCGCAGAGTTAGATGTCAAGTACATTTCTGTGCTCTTTCTTCTACGTAAAGCTGCATCTGAAAAGGCCAAAATAGGGATTATCAGCTAGGTGTCCGAATAACGCATCACAGGCCATGGCGGAGTATATCAAGACTTGAATATTAGAACATATCAAGAGACAGGAGGTTCACTTATGAATCAGAGTGCTCAACATTAGAGAAGTCTTGAAGTGCTCTTTATAACATGGTGCACTTATCCTTTTTGTCCTCTTCTTTTGACCTGACCTAACCTAACCCACTCTTCCCCTCCACAGATGCATACTTACCTCAGTTCTCAGTCCTAACACCTCCAAATACTCTAGCTGCGGACTTTTAAAAACAGGTACTCATCAGTGCCTGGGGTGCAGCACTGTCTACCCCAGCCGGTTCTTGTTACTGCTGCAGGTCTCTGGCACCACCATCTTGGCTGAGGAACCACAGTTGGTTCCCCAGTGCACATGTGCAAGCTCGTGTAAGGCATTGAGAATGGTCCTGCAGCCTCCTGGGACATGCATATCATGTGACATGTTCCAGGAGGCTGTGGGGGGGATGTTGGCATAGGGCAAAGAATGTCATCCTTACCTAGGCAAGGATTGCAAAAATGGCGGCAGGTACCATTAAAAAAAAAAAAAAAAAAAATCAGTGCTCACTCTCCCCCTTCCCTCAAACACATGTAACACAGTTATAGGCTTGGTGAGAGGGAGCGAACCAGTAGGACTTCACTTTTTGAATGAAGTTCTGCTTTAATGTTAAAATATTTTTCTGATTTTTTTTTGTATACAAAGAGGTAAGACAGCTGTCTTCATGTTTCTTAAATTCCCATCTCTGCTAGGAGAAAGGAAGGCTGTGACATTCAATAGTCTAATAGTGTACTCTGATCTCCCCTGCTATTGAGCTTTACATTACATTGCCAGAGGTATTGGGCTGCCTGCCTTTACACACACATGAACTTTAATGGCATCCCAGTCTTAGTCCGTAGGGTTCAATATTGAGTTGGCCCCGCCCTTTGCAGCTATAACAGCTTCAACTCTTCTGGGAAGGCCGTCCACAAGGTTTAGGAGGTTGTCTTTGGGAAGGTTTGACCATTCTTCCAGAAGCACATTTGTAAGGTCAGGCACTGATGTCGGGGGAGAAGGCCTGGCCCGCAGTCTCCACTCTAATTCATCCCAAAGGTGATCTGTTGGGTTGAGGTCAGGACTCTGTGCAGGCCAGTCAAGTTCCTCCACCCCAAACTGGCTCATCCATGTCTTTATGGACCTTGCTTTGTGCACTGGTGTGCAGTCGTGGTGGGACAGGAAGGGACCATCTCCAAACTGTTCCCACAAAGTTGGGAGCATGAAATTGTCTTGGTAGGCTGATGCCTTAAAAGTTCCCTTCAATGGAACTAAGGGGCCAAGCCCAACCCCTGAAAGACAACCCCACACCATAATCCCCCCTCCACCAAACTTTACACTTGGCACAATGCAATCAGGGAAGTACCGTTCTCCTGGCAACCACCAAACCCAGACCCATCCATCAGATTGCCAGACAGAGCAGCGTGATTGGTCACGCCAAAGAACACGTCTCCTCTGCTCTAGAGTCCAGTGGCGGCATGCTTTACACCACGGCATCCAACGCTTTGCATTGCACTTGGTGATGTAAGGCTTGGATGCAGCTGCTCGGCCATGGAAACCCATTCTATGAAGCTCTCTACACACGGTTGTTGTGCTAATCTGAAGGCCACATGAAGTTTGGAGGTCTTTAGATATGGACTCTGCAGACAGTTGGCAACTACTGTGCGCTACAGCATGCGCTGACCCCGCTTTGTCACATCATGGCTGAGTTGCTGTTGTTCCCAGTTGCTTCCACTTTATTATAATACCACTAACAGTTGACCGTGGAATATTTAGTAGCCAGGAAATGTCACAGGTGACAACCTATCACGATACCACATCTAAATTCACTAAGCTCCTGAGAGCGACCCATTCTTTCACAAATGTTTGTAGAAGCAGTCTGCATGCCTAGGGGCTGGACTGTATACACCTGTGGCCATGGAGGTGATTGGAACACCTGAATCCAATGATTTGGAGGGCTGGCCCAATACTTTTGGTAATATAGTGTATTTCTCAGCACAGTGTTTTTTGAGCTTGTATCAACCTGCTGCTTGGAATACACAATCTGCTGGATGCAATGATAAAAATATTGTTATTAGTATGTTGATGAGGGTAAAAAGTTGAACAACAGAAGGCAAGATATAAGCAGGTAAGTCAGTTTTATCATTCCATTAGTGAGCACTATGGGGTGCTGGGGCCCTGCAGAACACGCTGAGTGTCTTCCCTTTCCCAGAGTTCTAATGTCCCAATGAAATACTTAGGATGACTGCCATTCATCATTATACATTACTCTTGGCCCCCTGCCTGCCTGCTATTAAATATTGCAGGTAATGCTTTTAGGCTACCTTGAGCACAAAAACAAATACATAAAAATGATATCCAAGAAATAATATGTTTCTATGGCCACTAATGACAGAGCTGAGTCCACTGTTGACAACAGATGCAGCCCTTACAGCAGTGGTACTCAACCTTCCTAATGCCGCGACCCTTTAATACAGTTCCACATGTTGTGGTGACCCCCAACCATAAAATTATTTATCCAGTAATTATAATTCATGAAGTGTCGTTTTACCTCCAATACTGCTGCTTTCAACACAGTAGCTGCTTTTAACAGAGTAGCTGCTTTCAACACAGCAGCTGCTTTCTACACAGTAGCTGCTCTTTACACATCGGAAATATGTGTTTTCTGATGGTCTTAGGGGACCCCTGTGAAAGGGTTGTTCGACCCCCAAAGGGGTCGCGACCCACAGGTTGAGAACCACTGCCTTACGGACTATTCCATCTCCATATCCACACTAAATGGCCAAAATTTTATGGACATTACATTCCATGACCATGGCCATTATAACAAGCAGTTGGCCTAAAATAGCCTCCACTCTTCTGGGAAAACTTTTCACAAGTTTTTGTGTCCGTTGGAATTTCTGCCCAATTTTCAGGCCAGGTATCGATGTTGGATGAGAAGACAATCAGTGTTCTAATTGATCCCAAAGGTGTTCAGCAGGGTTAAGGTCAGGACACTGTACAGGACACTCAAGTTCCTCCCCCAAACTGGTGAAACCACGACTGGCTTTGTACACAGGGGTACGATCATGCTGGAACGGAAAATATTCTTTCTCAAACTGCTACTACAAGACTGGAAGAGCATGTTTAAAATGTCTTTGTGAGCTCTAGTATTATTGAATATATAGCGTATACCTGTGTTTGTCCAAGCGATATAGTGACGCTCGATTGGCCAGACACATTCTAAGCAGACACCCACCTTCAATAGATCAGAGGTCATGGTCTTCAGTGGTATGAGCCGAGGTTCCTGCATGTGTACATCCTGCTCATCAGCCAGGATCCAGGGGAAATCCTGTGCAGACACCAAACGCAAAGACAAACGAGGGGTAAACCTGGTGACAGTTTTCTATGACTCTGACTTCATAGTAAAGTTGAATTCTGGGTTAACCCAATATTTTCTAAATACCAGAGTCAGGTGTATCTGTTAAATCTTGGTGTGTTTTGTGTATTTTCTACAGATCTGTGTAGTAATCCAGTGTGAAACTTCAGCGCAGGAGTTTCCTTTAATAAAGACCAGTCACTGCTGCTCTCTCTCCTTTTGAAGGGTGACTGGTCTGGTCTCTGGCCCACCCCTGTAGTGGGCGGAGCCTGCTGGGTCCCACCCACAGCTCTGTTGTCTGCATAGGCTATGTACAGCACAGTGATGATGTCACTGCTACTTTTAAAAGGTAATATCTGTGTTTGTAAAGGAATTTGGTGAATGCAAAATGGAATTAAATCCTTCATAAATATTGAGGAATATATTTAAAATTAATGTTTTTTTTGTGCCTTGAGTTCGGCTTTAAAGCCCTGGTTTGAGAAGTGTTCAAACATCGCTTGGGTTTTCACTGGTCTGTGTCCCCATTGGGACGAGTTCTGCCTATTTTCTGTGTGGTCGCAGACAGGAAGTGAGGGGGAAATGCATCAAGTGCACAGAACGCAATGAAAACCTCCCTCTATTCAAAACCAAAAATTAAATAAAAGGTTTGTCTGGCATGTAGCTTTAAAATGGGAGATAAAATCCAGGAGGAAGTAAAAAGCAAGCAGACAAATCCCCCTGCCAGGCCTCCACCTAGAACTGAGATGTCACTTTTTTTTAATGACTTTGTGCACTCAAAAAAAATCTGCCTAGTTCAGTGGTGGTCAACTCTCCTGATAAAGGGGGCCTCAAATGCAGCCCCAGACTTTACGGAAGGGCCACATATAATATTCAGGGAATGCAATACTATAAAATCTGTCAGAGACTACAGACAGGTTACAAGAGTTATTGGAGACTAGGGACATGCTATAGAAGATAGAAATAGACTGGAGACACATTATATGAGACTTAGGAGATCACTGCTATTACAGCCCCTTCACTAATCAATGCCTCCACATTTACTAAAGAAAACAAAAAAAACATAACAGAAAAAGGGATAAACAGCATAAGAAAAAGTAACAGTAAAAGACATGAAGGGGCTCTGAAGGCCACACAAAAAGTTCCAGAGGGCTGCATGTGGCCCTGAGGAGGATGCAGGATGGGCTCAAGGGGTCTGCCTAGTCATCTATACCATCTGGTAACTCACCTTTATAACTTGAATCTTTTCCATATTCCTTGTGGCTGCTTCCCGTGTATGAACCAATATAGTAAAGGTACACCCTAGATGAAAGAAAGAATCATTTGTTTCCATTTAAATATAAACCTGGAGCAGAGGACAAGGCCTCAGCTGTGAGCAGTACCTGGCGGATTGTTATCTAGGACGGCGTCACAGACACTGATCTTCAGAATAAATGCCCTCAGCAGTTGCTCTACATGAGATAGAAGGGAGTCGGAACTGTGCAAAACACAAACAGAATGTCAGAGTACTCAGGACCGCTTGTAATCTAACAACATGACCACACAGGGTGACGGGACAGTTCCCTTACTGTGCAGGGAGACAGAGAACAGCACCCTGACCGCACACAAACTGTACAGAGACACAGCACCCTGACCACACATAGATTGTACAGAGAAACAGAGGACAGCAGCCTGACTGCACACAAACTGTACAGAGAAACAGAGGACGGCACCCTGACCGCACATAGACAGTACAGAGAGACAGAGGACAGCACCCTGACCGCGCACAAATTGTACAGAGAGACAGAGGACAGCACCCTGACCACACAGACTGTACAGAGAGACAGAGGACAGCACCCTGACCGCACATAGACTGTACAGAGAGACAGAGGACAGCACCCTGACCGCACATAGACTGTACAGAGAGACAGAGGACAGCACCCTGACCGCACATAGACTGTACAGAGAGACAGAGGACAGCACCCCTGACCGCACATAGACTGTACAGAGAGACAGAGGACAGCACCCTGACCGATCTAGAAGTGACTAAAATAATGATAAATAATTATTTAAAAGGATCACTTTTATTACAAGAAATTATTATTAACATAGTGCATTTTTTGATGCAAATAAAAAGGGTTAACTTCCCTCCCTTCCACAGAAAAATACAATCGTTGCTCTGCTTAGCCCTTAGGACCGAGGCTCCTTGTAGCCCAACTGAGCAATAGGACAGGTAATTATATACTGCTGCATGGTCACTTTAAAGGGGACCTACGAATGAAAAAAAATAATCTTTTCCCACTGTGGTTTCATTGCAGAAAGAACAGAGTTGTCATCATGCTAAAGGAAGTTGAAAAATACCAAATCTAGCGGTAGGATCAACAGGTAACATTACTATATTACAGAGCCGACTGCATCACTTCAACAGGAAAGCTATCTTGTGAGATATAAAAGATTAGATTTCTCATCCTGCACATTGGAGGTAAAGACAGCCATACTAAGAGGGACTGAAAGCAGGGACAATACAGAGTCATGCCAACATCTATTCATGCTGCTAATGCGGCATTGTTTTCCCTCCCAGCATAGTTTAAAATGAATAAAACAGAAAATGCAAAACCTCATAATGTAGGCTATAGCTGGGCACTCTAGAAGTCAGTAAGGGGTTACAGAGGAGCATGCAGGGCCAGTGGCATGTATGAACTGTCATACATTTCCTCCATGTTTCTGTACAGAGTGCCCCTTTAGGGTACATTATGCGGCATTACTGGGAGTCACACCTGATAGAAAGGAGTGGAGGCTGTGCGATTTCAAAGACAAATCTCTCCACTGGGTGGTGCTCTTTATCCAAGATGACCAGAACAACCTTTTCCACGTCGTTCTGCAAAGCCAAAGAGAACAGAGTCTGATCACAAGACTGGCATACCAATGGCTGCCTTATGTCAGAGAGCAGCTACTAAACACCCCCCCAAGCAACATTTCTGTCTAAAGTGGCCATACGACACAAAGCCAGGGTAAGTAAAGTGAATGTAAACCCCTTCTTATGGTTTTTCACCATTTTGTTTCCATCTCATTGATACTGATCTACTGCAGCCATTTTCAGCCACTTCCTGCTAACACGTGCTCACTCCAGTGTCAGTTGTACGTTATTGCTCTTGACCAGCTTCCTGCAAGCACCAACGCTGGACCATGTCTGCGTCAGAGAATCAGCTTGTAGTCTCCACCAGGGGTACGTGTGACAAGGTGACAAAGCAGCAGCACAACTGAGGCGCATGGACAGAACGTTGTCACCCTACAACAGGAAGTGTCTGAACAAGGACCTTGGTAGGATCACCAGGGATTATTTCAATGAAAGCTGCAGATTCAGGAAGGCTGAAAACAACATGTTAAAGTTTATGTGAAAATTTAGTGATTGGATTTAGATCTACTTTACAGGAAAGACAACTCTGCCTGAGAAAATAATTGTTTATGGTAACCCCATACATGGAAGGGCCCTTCCTGATTGCCAAAAGGTCATGTAGTAGCTTTACCTTCTCTATCAGGGGTTTAACACAGTGCAGCGTGTCCTGGATGTAGCGATTCAGCTCAGGGTGACACGACATCTAGGAAACACACAAAATAAATGTTAGCATTGGGCAAGCTGCATGAACCATAAACATGAACAATCTGTGCTTGACTTCCTCTTCCTCTCCACCTCCAACCAATTAGCATCTATCCTGACTGTCCGCCTGAACTCCAGACTTCCCTTCTTCCTGCATAGTTGTATAGAATCCTCTCCTGTACTGAAATTACTTACTCTGACTTTGCTGCATACAGCGGGCTTCTCACAATTTGTATTAGAAGCAGCAGCAAGATAGAGCCTTCCTCATATCCTGGCTAGAGGGCATCCAACATCATCTAGCCCTTTACTCTCCAGCTTGACTGTTCCTGGCCAGCCTCTTCATTCATTGGATTTCACTTTCAATCATGGAGGATCAGCATTATTTGATAGGCATGTTCTTCTGCACCCTTCTCACTTTGAGGATGCCATCCTAGAGGGCACAGAGAGATTCTCATTGGTTAGCTCGATCACAAGCTGGAGATGACCAATGTACGCTCACCATTGCGAGCAATATGAAGCTGCACAGCCTCTGGGCTGTGTACTGCATTTTTAGATGCCCAGACTGCTACACTGGCTGGCATGGGTAGCAGAAGATGATTACCAAAGAAGATAAGTGCAGCAAGCACAAGGAGTGCAGGGAGGGTGTAGCGAGTCATTTTTTGTGATCCTAGATTGTAAGCTCCAAGGATCAGGGCCCTCCTATCCCTCTTGTATTGAACTGTATTGTTGCTGTATTGTCTCCCGTTATATTGTAAAGCGCTGAGAAAACTGTTGGCGCTATATAAATCCTGTATAATAATAATAATATATAAATCCTGTATAATAATAATAAGGTAACTAACCCATCAAGCTTTAAGTATAAAAATAAATAAACAAAAAAATGAATAAAAAAAACAAGGCTCTTTTTTTTACAGAATGGAATAGTTAGCCCTTATGTCCATCCCCCAGACTGCAGAACCACGGTATCCCTTTCTGCCTGGGTTACACAAGTCCTTCCAGGAAAGAGTGACTCCACTGATAGTTCTGCTAGCACCAGAGTAACTCTCAGGATCATGTGACTATTCAAACTCCACCAATACATGGCAAAAGGAACACTTGGGGAAGGGCTGGGTATAGCAGCATTTTCTTCTTAATAAACTGCATGAAACCGCTGTTTCAAAAGTGTATAGAATTCTCACAGAATTAGACACAAACACAAAGTTAAATTTTATGACAAAATGGGAAAGAGATATGGGAGTTGAGTTTGATGAGGATAGACAGAGAAAGATGTTTAGATTGATACACGATAATGTTAGTATGAGAGAGGTGGAGGTTAATTATAAGTTTGTGACACGATGGCACATCACACCGAGTGTTGAACACAAGATGAATGGGGAAAGTTCAAATATGTGTTGGAGAGGATGTGGAGATATAGGCACGGTGTTTCACATATGGTGGGAATGTCCGAAAATCCAGGCTTTTTGGAAGACAATAGTCAAGTTGATTAAAGAAATAACGGAAATTGACATAGGATTAGATCCAACGACGTGTCTCCTACACGCTGTGGAGACATCTGTAAATAAATATAAAAGATTCAGGTATTTGGTACTTCTTGAATGCAGCGAAGGGTCGATACCCAAGTTTTGGCGGAAAGTCGAGGTACCGAAGGAGGTGGACTGGATTAACAGAGTAAACCAGATAGGTAGAATGGAAAGATCATATCATATGCAGGAAGACAGAATGGAAGTGTATCTCAGGAGATGGGAAAAGTGGGAAAGAGCAGGATTGAAAGAGAAATATAAGAAAACATAAACTAGGATGTTAACATAACACTAAAAAGCCTCAAGAGAATAGAATGGGATAGAGTCTGCAGAGGGGGAAGAGGGGTGGGAGGGAGGGGTGGTGGGATGGGAAAGAAAAGAGTTTTAAGTAAGGGAAAGACAGAAATGTTATAAATGTATACTTGTATGAGAATTACTTCCCTGTTTGAGTTTTTGTATTAATATGAAAAATTTAATAAATATTTAAATTAAAAAAAAAGAAACCGCTGTTTATTTTATCTCCCTCCATTCCTCTGAAGATGTCCTTTAGCACAGGCTGTGCGGGGGATAGTGTGTGCTGTGAACCAGTACAACAAGAAAGGACAGAGATGTGTTCTTGTTTAAGCAACGACAACTATGCATCCTATTGAAAAAAGCAGATCAACACAGGCACACATTTGGTAGCCTTTCTAATCCAGGGTTCCTCCAAAGATTGCTTTTTAACTGATTTCCTTGCGCAGATAGATTGAGATTGACCTCTTGCTTGATGGTGCCCGCATAGTTGCAGCACCAATGTTACTCGGGAAAAGCCAATGGTAAGGAACCAACACAGCCTCTCCGATCGTCTCTCAGATAATTAGCCACTGAACACCAAAAAGCATTCTCCATAACCAGCATCAATGTAAGGGGTCACTACATCGACGGCCAATAAAAATGTCATTCTGAACACCAATGTAACATGGCATTCATTTCACTGACCATCAATAGAAGGGGCCCTATGGTCACTGACCGCCAGTCTAAGAAGCCACCGGCCACCAATGTAAGACTGCATTTCTCCACTGACCACCAATGTAATGAAGCACTACATGGGCCACCAATGCAATGGGGAAACTTTTCTAATGAGCAACAATATAATTTTCACTGTCTGCATTTCTTTCACAGCCATTAGTAATTGTTCATTGTTAAAGGATAAGTTCACCTTTTAGGAACATGTTACATGTTTCATCCATTTTTAGGGTGGAGCATGTAACATGTTCCCACAGCTAAAGCCGCAGCCTGATCCCCACCCCCTCCCTATGACAGCAGTATGGAGAGAAGTTCCCCATATTAGCTGTCGCCTTTTAAAAACATTGTGGAAGTGCAGAACTCCGCCCAGACAGCTACATCATTCATTCACAGAGTTCTGTGAATGAATGAACAAGTCCTGACAGCTTTTGTGGCTGTTGGCTTGTAGTTCTCAATGAACTACCACAGCGCTGTTGAGCGATGTGGTAGTTCATTGATTCTTTCTCATTGACTATATCTCCTTGCCGTACAGGATGTAGGGGCAAACATACACATTGACAGTTTGCAGGCTCAAAAAAAAAAAAAAAAAAAAAAAAAAAAAAAAAAAAATAGTAAATGCACATTTTTTTACCTGCAAAAAAACAGCTATATATATATATATATATATATATATATATATATATATATATATATATATATATATATATATATATAGCCAATGGCCACTATTCTATCCTCGACCTCTCCGCGGCCTTCGACACTGTTGACCACCCTCTCCTCTCTGCCAAACTGCACTCCCTTGGCATCAAGGACGCTGCTCTCTCCTGGTTCTCCTCCTACCTTTCCCAACGCTCCTTCAGCGTCACCTACAACACTGCCACCTCCTCCTCTCTGTCGGGGTCCCCCAAGGCTCTGTCCTCAGGCCCCTCCTCTTCTCCATCTATACCTCCTCCCTTGGCAAACTTATTCACTCCCACGGCTTCAACTACCACCTCTATGCCGACTACACCCAAATTTACCTCTCCACCCCCCACCTCACCCCCCTCACTCTCCACCCGCATCGTCCACCTCCTAAACAACATATCAGACTGGATGTCGCTCCATTTCCTCAAACTTAACCTATCCAAAACCGAGCTCTTGGTCTTCCCCCCAGCCCATGCCCCCCCCCCCCATCCTCTCCATCACTAAACAACGCCACCATCTCACAAACGCCAAAGTCCTGGGTGTCACCCTGGACTCCCACCTCTCCTTCCTACCCCACATCCAACTGCTATCTAGATCTTGCAGGCTCCACCTCCGCAACATCTCCAAGATACGCACATTCCTCACCCCAGACACCACCAAACAACTCGTACACTCCCTCAACATCTCACGCCTGGACTATTGCAATTCCCTTCTCACTGGCCTACCCAAACGAACGCTATCCCCACTCCAGTCGATCCTAAACTCAGCGGCTAAACTCATCCACCTCACCAACCGCTCCACATCTGCCTCCCCCCTCTGCCAATCCCTTCATTGGCTCCCGATTGCCCAACGCATCAAATTCAAACTGCTAACTCTGACCTACAAAGCCATTCACAATGCCGCCCCGAACTACATAACTGACTTGATACCCAAAATACTACCCTACCCAAGCCCTCCGCTCCTCACAGGACCTCCTACTCTCTAGCTCCCTGGTCTCCTCCTCCCACGCCCGATTGCAGGACTTCTCTAGGACTTCTCCCATCCTCTGGAACTCCCTACCCCAATCCATCAGACTGTCGCCTACCCTCCTCACCTTCAGGCGCACCCTGAAAACCCTCCTCTTCAGGGAAACCTCACCTACCCCGACCTCACCCAACAACTAACCTCCTCCACTCCTCCCGCCACTCCATCCATCCCCCACAGCCATCTCCTCCTGTGTCACCTTCCCCTCCCTCCTAGATTGTAAGCTCGAAAGAGCAGGGCCCTCGAACCCCTCGTGTATTGTATCGTTACTGTCTTGTCCCCCTTGCTACTGTACAGCGCTGAGCAAACCCTTTGGCGCTATATAAACACTGCATAATATATATATATATATAAAAAAAATTTTTTTTTTTTAAGTGAATATATCCTTTAAATTTCTTGATGATTGTTTAAAATAATCTGGGTGTTAAATGTTTTTGAAAGTCATGTTCTTTAATGTATTATTCCTACAACTTACTGACTATACTATTATTTTAAGGGCAGCAAATATTATTTTTAGCAGGGAGCTCCTGAGACTTGAAAGTTATTGTAAGAATTCCTCCATATATATATATAAGGCTAGACAGAAATACCAACAAAAACGCGTCCTACACAATGTTACAGTAATTGAAACAAAACCTGGAATCTTACCATCACATACTAGTTCTGTTTACCATTAGCATTCAGCATGCTATAGTGATAGCTGGAGGGGAAGAACACTGCTGTCCTGTGCACATCTGTCACAATGACTTAAACCTAGATGAAGCTTTGATCTGCTGAGCTAAGAAGTCACTAGAAAATTTCCTCATCAGCTGCCTCCTGCTCGATATTTTACCAACCCCCCTTCGCAGAGATTATTGGAAATCAATCTCATTAATATGGGGTTTAGTAGCCTGGGGCGGTAGAGGAGGATGCACTGAATTTATGTGAATAATATAGAGGAATTCGTATTATAGGAGACACTGAAACAAAAAAACAATTATACCACGTACCTGAACAGGGACATTATACTTCTTCCTCTTCTGGAAGATTCCAGTTGGATAGACCTCTCTGACATACAGGATCAGGTGCACGGCCACCTCCAGGAACTCACATAGGATGTCCGCCACGACTGAGAGGAGGAAAGCAGCAGAAATCGTTTAGCAGCAGCACAATCTGGAGCACATTTCTACATGTTTGAATGGCAAACTATAGTGCGTTCTCTGGGATTCCATGTTCTTTACTGTAACATTTACCTTAAAGTCATGTTTGACTTTTACATACTTGCGGCATATATTTTCTGACTATAAATATCAGATGAAATGCTTCAACCACACCTAAATTTCTGCACACTCTGCAATGTTATATATCATCTGAAAGATTTCTGACAGGATCAAACTTTTTTTTTTTTCTCCAAATCAGGACGATTTTGTTTCCTAGGAGGAGGTCAGCTTTTTCTAATCTATAGAGAATAGGAAACACAGTGGCGCCACTCTACGTGTAGATTGGTAATAAAAAACAAACATTCAATAGGTATACAACTCATAAAAGTAGGTTGTAAGTTTGCATGCCTGGTGGTATAGCAAATCCCAGTGTAGCAGCTGTGACCATTGATGGCCTGAGGAAAGAGCGCGCATGCTCCAAACACACTTTAAGCACACCCCGGTTCCCGTGACGTCATCAGATGCCAGTCTCCCTGTGCCTCTCTGCTACCCCCGGAGCCCTGGACACCACCAGCACAGCCAGGACGAGGAGAGCCGCCTAGCCTCCACAGCTGCTACACCGGGACCTGCTGTACCACCATACATGCGAACTTACAGCCTACTTTTGTGAGTTGTTTATCTAATAAACATTTGTTTTTATTACCAATCTACACTTAAGAGTGGCGCTGCTGTGTTTCCTTTTCTCTGTGCATTAGAAATGCTTCTCGCTTTGACAGCTGGCTGCCTTCTACCCAGAGATTCACCCTCATCTGGATTACCCTGTACTGTTGGGACTTTTATATAATGAGACTTTATTGGACACTTATCAGTCTGTCTTTTTATCTGTATGGTTTTATTCCTTATCCTCCCCATACAGTTGTGTTCAAAATAATAGCAGTCAGACATCACTAACCGGATCAATCACTGTTTTTGGTAGAAATGATATTTTTACATGGCAAATAATTTAGTAGCAGGTGTAGTAGAGTAATAGAAATCCAACAGACCCAACAGTAATGACATGCATGCTGCTGATTCTGTGTAATTGAATCACTAATTGAAAGGGGCATGTTCAAAATAATAGCAGTGTGGAGTTCTATTAGTGAGGTCATTCATTCTTTGAAAAACAGGTGGCAATTATTGCCCTTATTTAAGGAAGGAAGGCAGCAAATGTTGTACATGCTGGTTACAGTGCATTTCTCTCTGAAATTCTGAGGAAAATGGGTCGTTCCAGACATTGTTCAGAAGAACAGCGTACCTTGATTAAAAAGTTGATTGGAGAGGGGAAAAACATATAAAGAAGTGCAGAAAAAGATAGGCTGCTCAGCTAAAATGATCGCAAATGCTTTAAAATGGCAACCAAAACCTGAAAGATGTGGAAGAAAGCGAAAAAACTACCATTCAAATGGATAGAAGAATAGCCAAAATGGCAAGGACTCAGCCAACAATCAGCTCCAGGAAGATGAAAGAAGGTGTGACGTTCCCTGTGAGGACTGTTACAATTAGAAGACGCCTATGTGAAGCCAAGCTATCTGCAAGAAGCCCCCGCAAAGTCCCACTGTTGAAAAAAAGACATGTGCTGAAGAGGTTACAATTTGCCAAAGAGCACATTGACTGGCCTAAAGAGAAATGGCGCAACATTTTGTGGACTGATGAAAGTAAGATTGTTCTTTTTGGGTCTAGTGGCCGGAGACAGTTTGTCAGACGATCCCCAAACACTGTTCAATTCAAGCCACAGTACACTGTGAAGACTTTTCTTCATTTTTTTTAGAGGAACAACACAAATTTGATATATTTTTCTTCATGTTTTGATTTGGAATAGAATGTGTCGTGTTCCCAATGCATTTGTGTGTATGGAAATAAAAGCTATTAGAAGGATTTTCAGCTTTATTCACTTTTTTCAACACACTGCTATTATTTTGAACACAACTGTATATGTATCCCCGATTGTGGTTGGATGGTACATTGGTGTTGCCTTCTTAGCGCTCCCCACCCCCCCATACCCATGCCTTTTTCTAATCTATAGCCAGATCATCCTCCTCAGAGTGTTGTCATGCCAGATCCCAGCAGAGACAAGCAAGACAACATGTGCCTCCAGGTGATAGGCACAAGACTGCCACAGGGTCTGCCTACTAGTGGTTACACACACACACGGCAGTGCACTATCCCTATGTGGCTCACATCACAGGGCAATGCAGTAGCAATGCAGTAGCAATGCAGCTGAAGGCAGGAAGAAAAACTAGAAGACAGGTATCACAGCACTGCCTGCACACAACGGACACAATCATTACTAAGAGACAGTCGGCCATGAGCCCCTCCTGCTCTGCCCAACATTCACACAGGTCACCCATAATGCCTTTCAGCTACAGCACTCCCTGGGAGTAAAATACAACTTACACACCTCAGGGCACGAATGCGGATCCACCTCCTGCATGCGCGTGCACCACCTGCATTTCAGCCACACCCTAACAGTTCTTGAATAGTCCAACACTCCCTTCCATCTGCATTAAGTGGCTCCTTGCTTTGCAACACTCGTCATCACACTAGTGGCAGCGATAGGACCTGGAGGACCCTCCGAATGGAGGAGGGTGGGGGGTTGCATGCATCCCATCATTGCAATGATTTAAAAAAAAAAAAAAATCCTTCACCCCCAGTATCTACACCCCAGACTCCAAACAGATATATCAAGGCTTTCAATAGTATCTTTAGTAGACAAAATGGCAAAAATAAAAGAAGTTAGGGTTTGTTTCAAGTTTACAAATATACGTGTAAAAAATGCTCAGCTTATAAAGAAAAGAGTTCAAATTTAATTGCCCTATTGCCAATCTGCACTTTGTTGAAGAAATACGGCAGATTAAGAAAAAATCAAATGCAACTACACTTGCAACAGTGTCACATGTTGGGGACATACCTGGAAACATTGCTTGCTTTTAGTGTTTTAGCTACATACGCAACAGAGCCACTTTAGACGTGTTTAGTGCGCTTTCAGAAAACACACCAAACATGCGGGGCACAATATAATATAACTCTATAGGAAAGCACAGCTAGCCCTCGGCAAACGCATGGGTAAGACAGGCTGTACCCGCAGAGTGGAAAAAACGCACTGCAGAGGTGTGAAAGCAATCTGTATCCAACTCTAAAACACTGAGATGATATAACAATAGATGACCCCAGCAGCCACCTCGCAGTTTTTACTTGCCTTGTCCAAAGTTTAAATCTTGTCGGGTGAGAGTGGTCATGTTTCCATCTAATATATAACATAAAGAAAAGGTTCAAACTTAATGCAGACTATTAATGATTGCATACCACAAACTTAAAAGAGATAAGTAGAGTGGATACTGTTATATTATTTTACAATGTTCTAAGCTTTGTGGGGGCCCATAAGTGCTTTATCTAATAGCTAGCAATGAGCTGCTAAGAGTGTCAATCGATCATTAAACAAATAGGACAAATGGCTGCCTATGAGCTACATAAGGGACATAAAAAAAAACAAATAAAGTATGTTACCACAAATTAAAAGAGATTAGGGTTACTGTTATATTATTATACAGTAGTGCTTTTATAAAGCGCCAAGTGTAGTTTGCATTAAACACAGCGCTGTACATTACATTTAACCCTAACTTGAAAAGCTGGTTACTATTTCACTTAATCTGGCCATACACCACTGGCTGAAAGAAATAAAACAAACAAACAGAATGCATTCCATAGAGAGGCACAGAGAGCCAGTGATGACATGACTGGGGGGGGGGGGGTCAATTCACTAAAAGATAAATACAGCAATAATTTTTAAAAGTAGTCAATTCACTAAAAAACATCCATTATTTACTGCATGTGTTATTTATGTTTTGCAATAGTTATCACTTAAATTTAGCGTTCTTTTTGGTATTTTCTCGCATTTTTTTTTACATGCCAACATTTCACCAGAGGAAGAAATAAATGCACACAAAAATATTAGAAAACTGAAAACATTCTAGTGTGCTTTCATTCACAGAACAATATCCCTCTGGTGAAATGTTACAATTTATTTTCATTCCTGAGCTCAGAGAACATATCTACACCGATATATTGTATACTTTTCATTTACTGGCCAGTGAAGAGTTCCCCTCGTTGTTTTGTACATTGCAAAAATACCAACTGCCTACTGGCAGGTGATAAGTAAGAAATGTGTGTGTTCTTTAGTGAATTGACATTAATGATTTATCTTTTTTTTTTTTTTTTTTTTTTGTGCGGAATTTACTGCACATTCGATATTTTACTTTGATGAATTGACTCTTATTATTTCATACGATATTTAAAAAAAAAAAAGTCACATGACCTCCATATTGCATCTGAAATCCTGTAGTGAATTGACCCCCGGGTCTAAAATAAGGTATGTACTGAAATAGTAAGGTTTCATTCAAAAATGGTATCACCATATTTGAGTGGGAAAGGACACCAGGGAGACCAAATATAAATAGATTAATTTGAAATTCTGGCCAAACCCCCCCAGAAAACGGTCTTCTGTTTTCCCTCAGCAACCAATTCTTATCCAGCACTAGGCAGAACCGGATTGTTACCAGTGGAAACAAAACTCATTTCTATGAAAGAAAAACCTTGGTGTATAAATCCCACCCGAAATACCAATATACTGATAGAGAACAGGTTTATGTTCAGGAGTGTTTATTTTCTGCTATAAAACATATCAATAAAAAAAATTTTAAAAATCAAATTTCTTCATAAATTTAGACCAAAATGTATTCTGCTACTTATTTTTGGTAAAAAAAAAAAAAAAAAAAAAAAAAAAAAAAAAAAAAAAAAAAAAAAAATCGCAATTTATTGTATATTGATTAGTTTGAGCAAAAGTTATAGCGTCTACAAAACTATGGTACATATACTTTAATTTTTTTTATACACTAGTAATGGCGTCGATCAGCGACTGCGATATTGCGGCAGACATTTTTACACTAACTGACACAGTGGGAACCAGTGATGCCAATACAGTGATCAGTGCTAAAAATATGCACTGACACTGTACTATTGACACTGGCTGGAAAGGGGTTACCATCTAGAGTGATCAAAAAGGTAAGTGTGTGCCTAGCTATGTGCTTGGTGTACACTGGGGAAAGTGATGAATCGTGTTCTCAGCTCTGCAGAGAGAAACGATTCATGACTTTCCCCTGTCACAACAGTGCTATGGCTGTGCAAACATAGCTATGGCTTTTGTTCTTTCTCCCTGACCGACAGTCTGCAGTTGCAGGGGCTTGCAGACCGTTTTGTGCTGTGACAGTTCACAGCTGAAGATTTCCTCTGGTGACACGTGCACCCATGTTGCGTAAGTGCAACATGACATTTATATGCTTGATTTTGCACAAATGCCACCCTGTAGCAGTAAAACTGCTATAGGGCGGAGGGAAAGCAGTTAATACAGCATCAAAGCTAAGATATGTGGAGCTTTTATGGAAGGAAGGGGGAGGAAAGATGCATGCAGAGCTCAGAGCTGAAGAGGGGTGAAAATGAGATGTGGAATGCAGAGGTAAGCAGCGATGGAAGAAGGCTGAACTCTGCACTGTGTGTGTACAGCACCCCTGAACTCTGCACTTTACACGCAGTGCACCACTGAACTCTGTATGCAGTGCACCCCCGAACTCTGCACTTTACATGCAGTGCACCACTGAACTCTGTATGCAGTGCACCCCCAAACTCTGTATGCAGTGCACCCCTGAACTCTGTATGCAGTGCACCCCTGAACTCTGCACTTTACATGCAGTGCATCCCCAAACTCTGCACATAGCACACCCCTGAATTCTGCACCCTGTGTATAATGCACGCCTGTTATTTAATGCCTCTTTAAGACCCCCTTACTGTTAGTGAAATTTGATCACATCCAGTATTTGATGCAGTTTGGAGTGAGTATGTGTTAGTGGGGGGAGCGGTTGTGGTTGAGTCCCTGCAACTTTTTTTTCTGAGAAAAAAAGCCCTGGAGATACATATCATATCATGTGTAGAATATGTGGTGCAATCATTCACCATAAAATCAGAAAAAACATATAATAATTGACCAAAACGATGCTTCTGGTAATGGGCTGATTAGGCCTCATACACACTGATGTTTTGCAGCGTGCCAAGGTATAAAATCCCTGAAGCTTTTGAAGCCCCGTGAGCCACATGTGCTGCGTACAGATGCCAATACATCTGAAATGGCTGCACATGGTCATGCGATATCTTCTGCACATACCTATGCATGCGACTATGGCACTTCTTTCACAGTCCCCGATGCATAAGTCATTGCATGGCTGCGTAAAGACATTCACTTGTATTGGAGGCTGTGTGCAGAATGTGCAGATCCATGGGGGCCAGGAAGTGTGGAGGACTGTACAACTCAGTGTGCTTCTAAGCGTCCGTGCTTAGGAGGCCGAACACTCTCCATCCATGTATCAGCACTGATAATAATTGGGGGGAACAGAAATAATAATCACACAGGGTACAGAACACCGACCCCCTATCAGAACACCGACCCCCTTATCAGAACACCGACTCCCTATCAGAACACCGACTCCCTATCAGAACACCGACCCCTTATCAGAACACCGACCCCCTATCAGAACACATATCAGAACATTGATCACCTATCAGAACACCGATCCCCTGTCGGAACACCGACCCACTATCAGAACACCGACCCCCCTCAGAACACCTATCACCTGTCGGAACACTGACCCCCTATCAGAACACCTATCACCTGTCGGAACACTGACCCCTATCAGAACACCTATCACCTGTCGGAACACTGACCCCTATCAGAACACCTATCACCTGTCGGAACACTGACCCCCTATCAGAACACCTATCGGAACACCGACCCCCTATCAGAACACCTATCACCTGTCGGAAAACACTGACCCCCTATCAGAACACTTACAATGATGGGGAATATAGAAATGATAATAATAATGGCATCTAATGGGAAGATAACAGGCCATGTGATAGGAGCAGCAATGCAACCCAGTAATAATAATAATATCTACAAGACAGAGTATAACCACCACAGCAATAATAGGCAGTCACTGAACGATGACACTAATAAACATTACTCAGTATGAATAATAATCTCCCTTCCTCCATATGATCAGATCTGGATGTCAGTACGCTGTACACACCGGTCTCACACAGCTGTGGCCCTTTCTGCCCCCCAGGTTTGGGCCCCTCGCTCTCTCAGTTCCTCTCCTCCTGCCGACAGCAGTCTTCCCGTCGCAGCTCTGATGACGACAGGGCTCTGTTCTCTCCGGCTTGATGATGATGTCACCGGCTCCGTGTAGACCTAGGTTGTGAGCTCGGGAAGAGGCGTTGTGTGCCGTGTGAGGGGAGAGCTCCAGGAGCAGAGCGCTGGTCTTACACACCACCTCCGGGGAAGACATTGTGACAGGCTGGGGGGTTCAGCTGGAAAATTATGGAGGGATGAAGTGCAGCCCTGACAGTTCAGTTGAAGTACGATGACCCTCAACATTGGAGTCAGTACTATTGACATTACCACACATTGGTGGTCCTGGCAGGGAAATGTAACCAGTCTGTAATGGTAGTGAAAGATGACTCCCTCCTGCACATTGGTGGTCATGGCAGTGAAAGCTCCAGTTTTCATCAACCAACGAAAATGTGCAGGAGGGACGTTACCCAATTTTTCTGAAGATGTTCTGTCACAACGGCTAAACCTGTGTCTGTAGGGAATGTTCAGACCTTTATACCATCTGATCAGGTCTTTATTCCAGGAGTATATAAACGCACTGACATTCTGCAAACTTAGGGTGAATGCTGCTGTGTGATCTCCACCTTAAACTGTCTCCCTGCTACGCACTGACTTTCTGCATACTTGGGGTGAATGCTGTGTGATCTCCACCTTAAACTGTCTCCCCTGCCACGCACTGACATTCTGCAAACTTCGGGTAAAGGCTGTGTGATCTCCTTAAACTGTCTCACTGCAACGCACGTACTTTCTGCAAACTTTGGGTGAATGCTGCTGTGTGATCTCCACCTTAAACTGTCTCCCTGCCACGCACTGACTTTCTGCAAAACTCGGGATAATTAGGCCTATATCTTTTTGTCTGGTGATTGATTCTCACCTCCTTTGCCTTTCCGTGATCATAGCATCAATCCTCTTTTATGACTTTGGCCTGTGTCTGGTTTTTGACCAAATGCCCCCAAAGATTCATGTGATCCTTATCAATTTCTAATTGGGGCGGAGACGAATTGATCATCTCCCTATACA